GACTAGGGCTTTGCTCCTTGTCCACCTCCACAAAGGACCACTATGGGTATGTTGCTGTCTTCTGGTTAGGGGGCTGGCTTGCTCCTTGCCTGCCACTGCCTCCTCTCTTGACACTTCTGGGTTGTTCCAGGTTTGGTTGCTGCAGTCATGAGCTGTGGCAAATTTTGACAGTCTCCTGGGCCCACCTAATAAATACCCAGAAGCAGCTTCCATGGACCCCATGCCTGTCTCTTTGCAGGACAGCATCAGGTTAGGTTCCAGAGGTGTGTCCCCTTCCCACAGCATGGAGTGACTGAGCTCTGCCACCCTGAGCATTCTTGCACCAACTCCGGGTGCTTTGCATGATCGTTTGTGCATGGCCACTGAGCCCAGCCACCTTGGCCTCTGTTCATTGGCCAGTTGACTCTCTTCCTGTGAAGTCCATGTTTTTTCCTAGTTTCCTGTTGGGTCACCTTTTTCCTCTTTATGTATTTTTGCGGGTGTAACTTAAGTAGAAAGTGGAAGGAGTGGAAGCAGGTGAACCCAGTAGACAGGGCCTTCGCACAGGTTATCTGAGGCCGATGTATTGCTCACAGGAGGCCACAGGCCACAGAAGCTTACAAGACATCCCCTGAGGTGCAAAAAAGCTGTCTGGGTGGGCAGGGGTCTCTCTGCACCCCAGCCGAAGGGTCCTGGAAAGCAGATGCCCTGGGTTTAGACCCAGCTGGGCTAAAATATAGCAGGATGTCCTGTTTCCAGGAAGGACAGGGATCCAAGAGGACTCTGGTGGCCATGGGATCCTGTGGATGACGATTGTTACTGGTTCAGTGTCCTTAGAGGTTAGGTCAGCTCACAGATTCTGGTCCTTCTCAAGCTAATGTGGAAGGTGCTGACTTTGCATCAGCACAAGTGCAGTTCTTTGGTTGCAGCTCTTCTGGTTTTCTGTATCCTGCCAGGTGTTGTCACTGGAACCAGTTGCTTCAAAGAGCCTGCTTTTTGCTTTTGAGAATGTATTTATACCTGCTCCTTTCTTCCGTGTTTTCTTTACTGCATTCTCTTGCTAGCTTCTTAAACTTTTCAGTCTTCCTTCCTGACATGACTGCAGTCCAGCTGTGACTCACCATCCTGATAATGTAGCACTTTGAGTTTCTAGTCCCAAGCACTCCTGACTTCTGATCTCTGTTAGGATTGCATCTTTGACCCAAGAGTTGGTGTTTTTTCATTTGCAGATGTGAGAACACATGGCTCTCTCTTTGTTACCAGTTTTTAACTATGTGTGGTTAGAAAAGAAGATTCGTTTGGCATTTCTTTTTGTGGGGACTTGCCTGATGAGCTAGCACAGGGTCAGTCTGTGCAGACACTCCACGTGTGTTTGAGATCATTTCCTTCAGCCGGACTTGCAGAGGTCTGTTTATGCCTATTAAACCAAGCTTGCTAATTGCATTACTCATACTTTGTTTCTTAGCTTTCATCTGCTAGATTAAGGCATATCACAGTCTTCTGCTGTGAGATCCCTTTCTTTGTGTCTGCTCTGTTTTGTGCATTTCAAAGCAATTTTACTGAAGGTGGATGTTTAAAAGCCTTTGCATCCTTTTCAAGGATTGCATAGCAGCCTTTCTTATTTCCAGTCACATTCTTCCTTGAATCTCTGTCCAGCTATTCAAGATGCCACACACCAGCCTTCTTTTGGCTAGCAGTGCCCGGCCACTCCGTTTTTATCATTGACTTTCAGCCTTCCCTGTCAGTTTTACCTATGTTCTTTGTGAGCAACATAAAGCTGGGAGTTATTTTTACTTTTGCGTATATCTAGTCCAGCAACCTGTGCTTTCAGTGGAAACTTTGCTCTTTTACTGCTCTTTGACTATGTGTTTTCCATCTTATTTTGTTTACTCCCACTTCCTTTGTTTTTTTCCTCTTCTTGGTGTGATTTCATGTTCTCTGTGTTTTGTTTGTTCCTGATGCTGAATGAAAAGACACATATCCCATTTCCTTCTTATCTACTGGGAATGGACCAAGGCCTGGACCACAGTGGCCCCATTAGGGTCTCCAGAATGAATACCAGTTGCCCAGTTGAACATCTCTATATTGAGGCATTGTGGTTCTTCAGAAATTCAAATTTTCCTGGGACCCTGGTAAATCTGCAGCCAAATCCAACCCCTGCAGGTTCTGTGCTGTCTTTGACCAGCAGTCATACACCTCTCTCTCTCTCTCTCTCTCTCTCTCCCTCCCTCCCTCCCTCCCTCCCTCCCTCTCTCTCTCTCTCTCCCCCCCCCCCCGCTTGTTCTCTTTCACTGAGTGGGTGAACATGTTCTGTTTGCTTGGGCTTTACTGGACTCAGGCCATTTCTTCACTCAGCATTCCTTCTTGTTTCTCCCCCATCTCTAGGACCATTTTCATTCTGCCCTGAGTCATCTGTAGGATTCCCTTGGGAAAGAACTCACATGGTCAGCATCCTGGTTTGGTTTGGGGAAAACATATTCATTCCACCCTGTGCTTTTCTGTGGTACTGGGGATTGAACCTGGTGCTTTGTGGGGGAGCTCTACCACTGAGCTACGTCCCCAGTCCTTTTTTAAAACTTATCTTTGAGACAAGGTCTTGCTGAGTTGCCCAGCCTGGTCTTGAACTTGAAGTCCTCTTCCCAAGTAGCTGGAATACAAGTGCTAGCCACTTCGCCTAGCCCTACTCCACCCTGTTCTTAATGATAGCTACACTGAGCGTACAACTCTGAATTCAGTGTTCTCCTTGACCCATGGAAGATACCAAACCACTGTCTCCTTGTTTCCCTTGCTGTTGAGAAACAGGCTGTGTTGACTGTACCCGTGAGGATTATCTACCTGCTTTCTCTAGCTACTTGTAGAATTTTCCATTTGTCTTTGATGTTCTACAGTTTCTTTCTCATATGCCTATGTGTGGGTTTCTGTTTTTATTCTCCCTGCTTGGGTCTTACTACTTCCTGTGCTCTGGAGAATCCTCACCTGCTGCCTCCTTTAATGGTGCCTCTCCCCTTTCTATTCCCAGGAACAGGCAGAGCCTCATGAGACCTAACTCCTGCCCACCCCTGGCTTCTCTGTGCTGCTCTGGTCATCCCTTCAGATGCAGCTTCCAGGTTTCTAAGTTCCTCCTCATCTGGCCTCCATGTTTCTAACTGCTGGGCTATGCACTCATTTCTGAAGGCTCTGTTGGCTCTTACCATCTCCCCGGTCAGATCAGTAAGCTCTGCTTCTTCCATCAGCCATGAATGTATGTATTTGACTTTGAATACATATTCAGCCTATTTCCTTTGCAGTTTATAACTGACCATTTCAGTAATGCAGTCTTTGAGGACCTAAATTTGCATGTTTTATAGACTTTCTACTTGGGGATAGTTCTAAATTTACAGAAAAGTTGTAGAAATAGTTCCTCAGTTCCTGTCTCCCCTCAGAAAGTTTCTCCTGCCATGACCTTGACATTAGGTGGGTCATTGTCACTGCTTGGGAACCAGCCCTTCCTCTGTCACGGTCCCATTCAGGGACCCACTGGCCGTTCTATATCCTTAGACCCTTCTTTTTCTTTGTCTTTTCTTTTTGTTCATGACTGATAACATAGGTGTTTTGCAGGTCTGAGGTTTTTCTCAGGGGCCATTCTGAACTCTGCACATCAGGACTGTACATGTACCTCCCCACTGGCGAGGCTCACCTCTGTCACTTGGTTTCCACTGTGAAGTTACTTCTTTCCTGCCCCTGGGGATGGGTGAGGCAGCAGTAAGCTCTGCATCCTGGAGGGGGGAGTAAGTGCCTAAATTATTTTGTAGCTCTTCTCTGTGGAACGTTAGTCTCTTCTCCCACTTATTTACACCTGGGCCCGACCCAGCTCCTTACCTGACACTTTGGGTGAAGATTATTCCATTGCTCAGCCTCCCCAACTGCGGCCACAGGGCACTCTCCTAGACTGACACTACATCCTTTGGCGTCCTGACTATGGTGCCACCAGGTGCTTCAGGCTCCTCTTGTGTTTCCCTCACTCAGGCCTGTCATGAGCCATTGCTGGCTCCTTTCTGTGTTGTATAACTCCTTTAATTGGGAGCTCTTTCATTGGGACATAACTGGCAGCACTCACATGCAGTCTAGTTGGGGGTAAATGCCTCACAAGAAGGCTGCAGTCATTCCTTCTGTGTGTACTGGATTTTTGGGCCCAGCTGCTGTAAATGACAAATGTCCACTCTCAGTACCTACCCCAGACTCTCACGGTGGCTTTCTTTTAACTTCCATTGACAACCAAGGCTAAAAGCAAAGTTTAGCCATACCATTTATCTCTCTAGCTCACTGACAGCCTTTCTAGCCCTTTCCTGACAGTACGGGGTCATCTCAACCTCCAGGGTACCTGGGAACATTGGGACCAGCCAGTTTCCATGGTCAGGTCTAGCTTCATTCCAGAACCCAGCATATCCCCAGGTTTAGAGGTTTGTTTTTAATTGCTGTGTTCTTTTTGTCTCAGTCATGTACCTTTAGCTGTTGTGTTGCAGGTACTCTGTTTGCCCTGTGGCCTCCACTTTACTTGCAAACCTCTTCCCTGTGGTTTCAGGGAAACGGTACAAAATGAGTGGTCTATCCACCTCTTTCCATTTACCTTCCTGGTGGAAAACCAAGATCACGGGCTATTAAGCATTCTGATAAGTAAGGCCAGGGATATGGAAGTGATTGTTCCCAAAACTATCCTTTCCCTAATGTGACTTGTGGCCTACATAGCAGAAACCAAGGTGATGTCCTACGCTCAGCCCATGTGTGCAGACTGTCTTCCTCTTGCTCCTCCTTAAGAACCCGTGAATATACTTTATGGTACCCTAAGAAAAAATCTCTGTAGAAAATAAACAGACCTTTTAAAAGAATGTATATAATAAATACCAAAGCCACATTTGACTTGTCAGAACTACTTTTCTTCACAATTAAGTCAGGAGGCAGATGCTGTTTCTGAACTTCCATTTTAATACACACGATAACATCACTACTCTTATGGTCACTATATATTTATATCTTTTCTCCAGCTTGAGCCTCTGCCAGAAAAGGTTTTACAGCAAAGACCCAATGCCAATGCTGTCCGCTCCATGGAAAAAGTCATGGAAATCCACAGTAAGTTGATCACTGAGTGCTCATGGGGACCCATCTGGGGACAGGAATTCTCTGTTTCCCAACCCCCTTCTATCCCCTGCTAGCAGCCTCTGCAGGCCTACATAGGTCTCGCTGTCCACTGGTGTTTAACAAGCTGATAGTGGCTTGCACTTATCCCTTCGGGGCCTCCCCAGAGCTTGCACAAGTGGTGTTTTCATCTCTAGTTTATAGGTCAGAAGACATGAGGCTCAAATGGTCTCAGTCAGTGTGAATTCACTTGCCCCAGATCCCCAGCCTGCAGGGGTGTTTGTGCCATTAGCCTATGTCCTCGGCCAGAGCTGTCAGCCCTACAGAGACCCAGTGTGCAGAGTGTAGGCCTACTTCCCAGCACTGCCTCCCATGCAACAGATCCTGGACCCAGAGGACAGGCAGACAGGCAGATGACTCCCACTTGCACACCTGTCTCAGGTGTACCCACCAGACACTGTCCTCATCACAAAGCCCACTTTGTCTAGGCCTTTGAGACACTCCAGCTGGGGGTGCCTCCTGCATAGGGAGCATCTCAGCAGAGGTCTGCTCCCAGCTCCCTGTGTTGGGGCATTTGGTTCCTGGCCTTAGAGCCATTCCCACAACAGCCTGCACGTTCTTTATGCTCAGGCCAGATCTGGCGACTTCCAAGCATCTGCAAAGCTCCAGGTAGGAGATTCCCAAGCACCCTTGCCTGCTTCCAGACCCAGGAAGCCCCTGTGCTGCCAGGCCTGCAACCCGCACTCCTGGGTGCCCACAGCAAGGCTGGGCCCTGTGGGTGCTGAGGGCCAAGCCCCATGGAAATTCACAGCGCCAGCCCAGGTGGTTCTGTGGTGTCCAGTGTTGTGAGCTCATCCCCAGGCAGCACTCCCTAACAGATACCTGGTGGCCTGGAGAGCCCTGCTAGGGCCCAGCAGCACTGGCTGAGGCCCATCCTGAGCACTTTCCTTGCCTCCAGGCAAGTACTGGCGCTGCCTGCAGCGCTTGTCCTCCACAGTGGGGCATTCTCTGATCGAGGCGCAGAAGTGTGAGAATGAGGAAGCTGAGACAGTCACCGCCATGGCCTCGCTGTCAGTGGGCGTGAAGCCCGCCGAGAAGAGGTGAGCATCTGCCCTTGCCCTCCCCACTTGCTAGACAGTCTCTGCACGGGGACACTCTGCAGCCCTGCCAGGAATGGCCCTGTGGGGGACAGGACAGGACAGTGGAAGTTTGTGTACAGTGTAGAAGAGCCTTGGAAACACTCAAGGCCATGACTAGCAGAGCACTGGGTGGGGCAGTGGATTGCGTGGGACTGCCCAGTGGTGTCATATCACTCACTGTGCACCCCTCCCCTCACCCTTTTCTCTCCACAGGCCAGACGAGGAGCCCATGGAAGAAGAACCACCACTGTAGCACCCCTCGAAGCTGCTGTTCTCTCATTTGTTTGTCTGTCTTGAAGCTCAGCCAAGAAACTTTCCCGTGTCACTCCTGCGTCCTGCCATGGTGCTCTCTGAGCAGGAAGGGACGCCAGGTAGGCAGCAGCAACGGGAGGCCTTTCCGCTGCCCCAGACCACAGTCTGGAGACGCACATGCACAGCGGGCGTGGCAGATCATACAGAACACGGACAGCGTGCGACAAGCGGACGCACGGACACGTGGAAGCCAAGCACACACTGGCGGTTCCCCCAGGGAAGCGCAAAGGAAGAAGCCTGTGGCAGCTTGAGCAGAGTTGCCGAAGTCAGTTGACGTGAGGAAAAGAAAATGAAAATCAAAGATCTAATAATACAAAATGAACTTGATTAAAACTGGTGCTTAAAGTTTGATTCTTACCCACAATTCCACAGTCTCCGTGTAAACCACTCATCTTGTAGCTTATTTTTTTTAAACAAAGTTTTCTATGGCTCTGGCCTGCCTTGTGACCCATAGCGGTGTGCCATGGGGGTTTGCAGCCGGGTTGGGGACAGAGTTGGATGAACCTTTAAAGAAAAAACTGGACAAACAGAAATGTGAGCCTGGAAGTCAGCTTGAGCTTCTCAAAGCCATCGGAGATGCGAGTTCGTGCCTTTTTCTATTGCTCTGATGGATGTTTGTGGCTCAGTTTTCTAAAGTCTGAGGAACAATGCCTTAAGAAAAAATAAACAGGAAGTGGTGGGACAGTTTCCTGTGGCTCGTGGAGCCTGGTGGTGCTGGCCCTGGTGCTCCAAGGACGGGTGCCAGCTGCCGTCCTGGGGAGGCCAGAGTCCAGCAGGCTTTGTTTGGCTTTATTGCTGTTTAAGGAAAGCGGAGGGAGTTCCAAAAAAGCAGCAAACACTGTTGGGGGTTTTGAAGTCCGGCAAGTTTTACATGAATCCAAAGTGTTCTTTTCTCATACGTCACACAGCAACCGAGCGTCTCCATTTGGTCGTGAAGCATGCCGTAGGCACACTACAGTGTTACGATCGGAATGCTTTTTATGAAAAGCAAGCAGCATGAAGCACTGCTTAAGTTTTAGGTATAAATAAATATATATGTGTATAATATATATTCCAATGTATTCCCAGCTAAGAAACTTGATTCTTATGAGATCTTGATAAATATTTATAATGCATTTATAGAAAAAGTATATATATATATATAAATATATATATATATATATATATATATATATATAAAATAACTGCAGATTGTGAAGGTCCCTGGCAAGTGGAGGGCTTGGGAATTAGCTCTGCGGTGCTTAGGGAACAGGATCCGGATTGAAACCCGTGCATTCTTGAACTCCGGATTGGCCAGCGTTCAGATCGACAACACGGTCACCCCTGGGCAACTTCCCTACCAGTTTGTATTTTAATTTTAATTATTTTTTAACAGAGCCCCCGCCCTCCCCAAGCCTCCGTGCACATATGTACCTAATGAGTTTTTATAGCAAAGAATATAAATTTGCTGTTGATTTTTGTATGAATTTTTCACAAAAAAGATCCTGAAGAAGCATTGTTTTGTGAATCTTACATTTTTCCTCACCATTTAGTAGTTTTCTGAATGGTAATAATGTCTAAACTATTTTCCTTTCTGAATTCTCGCATGTATGTTTTTGACCTTGCAAGGTTTTATGATTTGGTTCTGTTTGTGTGGTGACCTTGTCCTGCAGCATGCAGGACCAGCGCCATCAGAGGCGATTTTCAGAAGGAGCCTTGAATGAGGCAGGAGCCAGGGTCTTTTAGAGTGACACCAGTGGTGGTATCTTCCGAGCCACGCTCACGAGCTACACAGGAAAGCCAGGTGCTTCTCTGGTCTAGGCATAGTAGTGTACCATGTGGCAAGTGTGGGGCACCAGGAGCAGTGAGCATTAACAACGCTCTGTTCAGACTTCTCTGACCACTCTGTCAGGATGGAATTCTAGCTCCAGTTTTCCAAAGACCTTTTAAGCGTGTCAGCAATGCAAGGCCCTGAATGGGATCTTACACCCATTCAGGCTCTGGCTGGAGCCACAGCCCTGGGCTTGGAGCTGTGGCTGTAGGAAACGAGGCCCTTGTGGTTTCTGAGCCTGCAGGAGCGCGCAGGGTCCTGAAGGGACAGCCAGCCTTTGTCTTTGTTCTTTTTCTTGTTGACAGTAACTGACAATAGTTACTTTTTACTAGTAACTTATTTTCTAGCACTTGAAGCCACCAATTTCATTCCAAAGTGTGTCAAGTTCAGAATTGTAGGAGGAAGTTTAGATGCTCAGGTGTGACCCCAAGCCAGGTTTCTGAGTTTGGTAAAGTTTACCGGGTAGATGGGAACTCAGCCAGACTTCCAACCGGATGAATACAAGTTCTTGGATTCTTGGTCACTGGTGATCAACGCTGAGTTAGTGGTTGGAGAGCAGAACAGAGAGGTCTTGAGATGTGTTTGACTCTCCTCCCTACCAGCCACTCTGTTCCAAAGTGCATGTTGGCAGGAGGAGGAGACAGGCAAGCCCCTCCCACAATATTGGTGACAGAGCCCAGCCTGCCACTCTTCTGGCCTCCAGGACCTGTTCTCTGCAAACCCTGTGGGGACCTTGCCCCCACACTTGCCCTCTATTCCAGCCGTGGCTCACGAGGAACGCTCCTCAACATCTTTTTAGATGATGGCCTAACTTGGGCCACTTTGGTGGCCTCACTTCTCGCCCCTTTCAGATGGAGACCTGCACAAGAGGCGGGGTGAGAGCACAGTCCCTTTGCCCACCCACCCCAGCCCCACACGTGCTAAGAGCATTACCTTGTAGCCTTTGCTTTCCTTTGCAGATACACTTGGCCCTTCTGCAGTGCGAGTGGCACAGGGGCTGCCTGGGCCCCATGGGCAGGACTACAGCTGAGAGTGTGGCTTACCACACTTCCCTGACTGGTCCTCAAAACTTTAACCTTTTCTTTCCTTTGCAAAGACCTTTGGGCACTGGGTGGGTGAGCACTTTACATCCCTTTAAGGGAAACCTGAAGATGCTACCAGGATGGGTGCTGTCCACCCACCCTTGGGGCTTCCTGCTGTACCCTGATGTGCCCATACCCCACCAGCAGGCAGCTGTCCATCCCCAAGACCATGCCATGTCGCTGGGACTGGCCACCCCTCCCAGCATCCCAGGGATCTGGTTCTGGAGGGCCACCTTGTCAAAGTGTTTAATTTCTTTGAAAATCGTTTTCCAAGAGGAAGGACCGTTTTTTGCAATGGTCTGACACAAAAGCAAGTCTGGATTTTGCAGCACTAGCAGTGGGCTTGGTTGTGTTTATTTCCATCAGAACATTCCTTCTTCACTGGTCACAGCCACGTGCTCATTCCATTCTTTTTGTAGACTTTGGGCCCACGTGTTTTATGGGCATTGATACATATATAAATATATAGATATAAATATATGAATATATTTTTTTAAGTTTCCTACACCTGGAGGTTGCATGGACTGTACGCCCAGCATGTCTTTATATTGTATACAGATTTTGCACGCCAAACTCGGCAGCTTTGGGGAAGAAGAAAATGCCTTTTTGTTCCCCTCTCATGACATTTGCAGATACAAAAGATAAAAATTTTTCTGTAAAACAAAACCTTGAGGGAGAGGAGGGGGACGTTTGAGTCTTATTGAACTTATTCTTAAGAAATTGTACTTTTTATTGTAAGAAAAATAAAAAGGACTACTTAAACCTTCGTCATTTTAAGAAAAGTTTACCTAGCACTCCTGGCATACTGATAATAGAGACGATCGTTCTTATGTGGAAGCTGTTTTAGGGAAACCACGGCATTCAGAGTGACCTGCCTGTCTCTATTAGTTGTTCTGGGGGAATTTTGTTTTGTGTTCTTTGTTTCTTTTTTTCTCCCTCCACGGGCCAGGCACGCACTCCCTGCGGCCTTGTGACTTTATGCTGACTCAGACCCAGGGATCTGAGCCCCTCTCCCACACAGCCTGTTGGCTTCACGTTGCTTTTGGATGGCGTGTAGCCAGAACCCACTGTAGCAGCCTTGCTGTATGAGCCCTGGGTCTGAGCGACACTCTGTGTCAGAGGACACTGCATCTCCAGTGTAGTGAAGCCTCACTTGTCTCTGACGTTGATTAAAAGTCTCCTACTGAAAGAAAAAAGCGCAGATTTTTGTTGCTGGTTTTTTTTTTCCGTGCGCTTCACAGTGGAGGCACTATTTTCAGTTAACGGAATGACGAACATATAATAGATTCACAATATACATGGGGGGGTCAGACCTCACTCACCCAAGAGCTCATTGCAGATGTGTGGTAGGAACAGTTGTAATGACCTTGAGCCCTATTTGATGTGTGGGCTCCATACAGGCCACGGCCACCATTTGCTTCTGTAACTGAACCTATTTTCTCTTTGACTGTTGACCTCCCTGTGCTTTCTCTTGCTCAGGGCACTTGGAGGCCTTATTTTGGTTTTCTCATTCTTGTTTCGTTTTGTGTGGGTGGATTCTTACTGACCAACGGTGTCCTGTGACGGTCACCTAATTCCACCTTGCCGGAGTCCAGTGTTTTGTACCACATCACACACTTGTTACTCTTGTGGTGTAAATAAAGACTGCGTTAATTGCCCTCCATCTCTGCTTTCTACTCGTGCACTCTCTTCCTCATTAGCTCTTATGCGCCTGGGACACTCAGGAATGACCATCACATTCCAACACACAGGAATGACACATGGTTGGGTCCCTCAGGGATGGCGCCTTGGTCCAGACCCAGCAGCAGCCCTCCACCTGTAAGTTGGGCCTGTGGGAATGTCCTCCTTTTCAACTTCCAGTAATTTAAAGCTTTGCACTATTTTCACACTGTAAATTCTTTGCAGGCTGTGGTGAGCTGGGCTAGAACCAACCTCAAAGGTGAGGGAGACTCAGGGAAGGGGACAAAGGGGGTCCTAGGCTCCGCCGTTCCCACCCCAGGGCACACTCCTCTAAACTCCAGTCCACAAACCCCAGTGTAGCCACCTGATCCATCCTCAGCTTCCCCCACCAGGTCACCCCTGCACAACACCAGGGAGACCATGTCCCTCTCTGGGCTCCTGCTTCCTGTGTTAATCACTTGAGGTGGGGAACAGGTGGGAACAACTCTAGGGCCTTTTAGCTCCAGTAGCACCCAAGGGTGCCTGAGATACGGCTGGAGTGCCCCCATACACACACATAGGACTGCTTCCTCCTTCCTTTCACAGTGGTCCCCCAAAGGGTGCTCAGTAAATACCCTGCATGCCAGATTATCAGCAGGCCTCCTGAAAACCCATGCTGTCACCCCCAGGCCATCATCCCCAGGTTGTCCCTGAGCCCCAGAAATAGCTGCTGGGAGCAGAGCTGCCCCTGCTGGCCTCAAACAGCCTGGCACAGAACAGCGGTCAGCCTGCAGGCCTTGTGTTTTAAGGGGAATCACCTGGAGCTTGAAGCCACCAAGTTTGGGCCAATTTGTTACACAGCACTGCGGCAATAGCTGGTGAACTCAGGAGAGTGAATGGGGGAGGACGGGGCAAGCCAGTCTTGAACTTAAGGCTGGAAACTACAAGGCCTTAGGGTCTGTTTGCTCAAAACAGGAGGTTGCCTTCCAACAGCAGCTCCAAAAGAGTGTCCAGCTTGAGGGTGGGGAGCCTGCCTGTGCTGTTTCATTACCGTGGAGGTTTCACAACACAGTCCTTAGCACACTCAGGAAAGGAGTGTGAGCAGCTGTGTGCTCACTGCCAAGCCTGCACACTCGTTGCCATTTTGCTGTGAAAGTTCTAACGAATGCGGCATGGCCCAGCCATGCCCCGCCACCAACGTAAACTGTGCTGGAATCACCGTTAGGGCTTCTCATCCGTTTTAACAACCTCTGATAGAGGCAAATCTTGGTGTTTATTATACATGGATCATATGCTGCAGAGACCTTTGGCTCCTGGTTTTTCCCCTGTGCTGTGCTGAGACCAGTCACATCCTTGCACATTTGCAGTGCTGTGTGGCACATCACCAGATGTTTCCATGGTTAGATTAACCATTCCTTTTCTGTAGGCGTGGAAGTTGCTGATTTTAATCCTCCACAGACAGCAGTGAGCCAAGTGACCTCCTCTGTCCTGGAGCACTCGTGGGGCCCATCTGCACGGAGTCTGGCCTGTGCCC